AGCCCTCCCGCAAACTGGATGGACTCCCCATCGCTCCCCCGCAGGGCTACCATTAACTGCAGAAAACACTTCTTGGAGGGGAAGAAAATAAATCTTTTTCTGGGACCTGAGAAGCACAACATACCTGAATCACATCTGCAATACTTACGGCACATGAAGTAAGTGTGAACGACGTGTTGGTCTGCAGTTTCCACAATCAATTTAGCTTGGAAACAGTGTTTTTTTCTGTTTTCCAATTTATTGGCAAAACTAAGAAGGTTTTTTTTTTTCTTTATGGACCAAGCCTTGATGTTATTGAAATCAATCCAGGTTCACCATTCAAGACCCCAACATGCTAAGACTGAAGCTTCAAGTTAAATTTGTAACTACTTATTACACAAAATAACAATTAACGCCAGCTAATTTCTGCTTCCCAGAGCTCTAAAATAATTCCGAATGTGAAACAAAGATCCCTGTTACTCACACAGTAGTTTTCAGGTGGTTAAACTGAAAGACTAGAGGGATTCAATTAAACATTTAATAACTGTGGAGGACAGCACAGTTCAGTGTGCCAAAATAAACTTCAGCTCATAGCTGTATTAAAAATTTGAAAGATTTTCAGTAAAATAAATCCATATTTTATTAACATGCTTGCTACAGCTGAAGGAATAACATATGCCATCATAAAATAAACGTTTAAATCAGTACTGTACACTGTCTTGGATATTGCCTGCCTTAAAATCAACTATTACTGTAACTCATTTCTAGAAAAATACAGATAATAAGAACAATCTTTTGCCACACACAGTCTCTGGGCTAAACTCTCTCTCCCGTTACAAATTAGCTGTGGGCAAGATGATAGGAAAACCAACACCAGCTATAAACAGGTATTTGTGGGACGAGGAGCTGGCATCTGCGCTGACATCAGGCAGGGCAGTGTATACAAGTCTCAGAAAGCCAAGGGGATGGTTTTTGCAATGGACTAATCCTTTCCAGGGAAGTCCTCCGAGCTCCAGGGCCCGTTGTTCCTCCTGCCACCAGGATTCACCTTCTGCCCTTGATCAGGTGAGGGCAGTTAAGTTGCGTGCACTTCTCCCAGCTTTTCCCAAGGGCTAAGCAGAACCTGACACCACGCTTGTGTTTCATGCTTTAGCTGATAATGGGATAATATTAGCTAGCAAATGCCCTGAATGTTGAAAGAGCTTCCCGGAGAAGGGTGTTAACAAGTTTACTGGGGGAAGAAAACCTTCATTGGCCTTGTCCTACACTCCTGACTCACCTTTAGCGGAGTCGATGCTAACCTCTTCTCAGTGAAGACCTTTTACAGAACCGAATAAGACTCACGAATACATACAAGTTTTGAAATCTGAAGATACTGGTCATAGTCAAAAGCTGCAATTCAACTCTTAATGTCACTGGGTGCCTTCATCTATTTCTGTTAAATGAGCAGGATCTTCTAATGTGACAGACCCCTGCGATCCTCCCCTTGCTGCCAATTCCAGGTAGAGTAGACCCCACTAAACACGACCTCCAAGCCCCATCATCTAACCAGAGTTTTACCCCTCTGGTTGCCCACCAGACCACCACCATCCCACAACCTTCCCACCACAACCTCCCAACTTGAATAACACTGTGCGAAGGAGTGCCCACGGACTTGTTAAAACCAAGGGAAATGGTGTCCGCTGCTCTCCCCTTATCCTCAAATCTGGCCAGGTTTTCACCAAAGTGAATCTGCTCGGACAGGTAGGATCTGTCCCCACTAAATTCATGCTCACTGTTCCTGGTCACCTCCCTCTGCTTCATGTCCCCAGAAACAAGTTCCTGGTCCTCATCCTACAAATAGAGCGGCAGAGACTTTTTCTTGCCCTTGACATTCAAGTCTCAACTTCAGCTTTCGTTTTCCTAACACCACCCCTGCATGCCAGGGCAGTACTTCCAAATTCCTCCTTTGGAGCCTCTCCCTCCTTCCACCCATACGATGCCCTGAGGTTTCCAAGTTAACTGGAGGCTGTGTAAGACTCCGCAGATCCCATTCACCCATCTCCGTCTCCCGAACAATTTAATCTAATGATTTGCTTCCACGTTTCATTCAAAAAGAAGGTTTTTTTTCTTTTTAAACAAAGCCTAACTTAAGAAGCATTGACATCTATAATGGGACTTGGATGGCAGCATGTGAGCAGCATTTAAAAGCCTACTGGGAACAAAATTACAGCTCTTAAGAAGAGTGTGGCTTCTAAAATTTAATTTAACTGTTGCCTAGGTCTCTTCTTAAATCCTTATCCATGCTAAACAATACAAGCAATGAGGTGACTATTCAGAAAAAAATCGCCATTTTTATTTTTTTAGGTGCAAAAATGCAATTTGGGCCATTAAAAAACAAGCACCAGATTAAGCAATATTTCTTAGAGTCTTCTCTTCTGGCAGCCACAGAAATATCATCCTTCGGTACATTTCTGTAAATGTGATTATAGGTCCATTTATATAGATGACATTTTAGTAGTAATTGTACAAGCACAGCTAAGTAATTGTACTTGAAAATTTGATGATGGAAACAACTTTTCTTTCTTGCATTCATCACTACAGAAAAGAGAATGCAGTGGGGTTTTTTAATAAATAATAACCCAATTTCTAGATATTCCAAGTGCAAACCTTGTGATTTAAATATAATTCAGTCTGCTAAATGTTCCTACAAAAGAAAGATCATTTAAAACTCCATCAAGTCTAACTGATGACAACCAGATTTTTGTTTTAGTAAGGAGTTTGCTTGGGTTAAATAAAATTCTAATTTTTTTTCACATTTTGCTTTGTTTAATGGCACATAAACTGCTCTAGAGATGAAAAACGTGGCCAGATTATCAAATATTTCTACATAAATAATGCATAACAATATTATTAGACTGATGACAGTTATTAAACTGATGGCCTTTTCATCCCTAATCACTAATTTCAGATAATTTTTTAAAAGTACATTTCACATAAGTCATTTTGATGTTCATTATCTCTAACCACATGGACCAAATCACAGGAGGGCACCCCAAAAGAGGTACGATTTCTGACATAAATCACTGAATTGGGTAGGGCAATGTAGCAGGGCACTATGCCAAGGTGGGTTTTGTACCCCAAATCACTACACCCGTAACTTGTAATAATGTTGATTTATTTAGATTTCTCTTCACAGGTAAACTTTCAAAGGAGGACTTCCCCCGCTCGCCCTTTAGCGGGGGGCTGGTCAGGGTGTTACTGGCTGCTCTGCACGAGAAGTCGGTGATCCTGGCCGTGCTCCCCTGGGTAACCTTGGCAGGTTTGCCCTTACCCTCAAACTCCTCCCCGGTGTTTCCTGGCGTTTCTTAACTGCAATGGTCAAAATGACCTAATTGCAAATTTTGACATCTCCATGAGATGGTATGAGATGAAAAAAAAATTACAGAATCACAGAATGGTTTGGGTCAGAAGGGACTTTCAAAGGTCACCCAGTCCAACCCCCCCTGCAATGAGTAGCGACATCTTCAACAAGATCAGGTTGCTCACAGCCCCGTCCAACCTGGCCTTGAATGTTTCCAGGGATGGGGCATCTACCACTGCCCTGGGCAACCTGTGCCAGTGTTTCACCACCATAATCGTAACAAATTTCTTCTTTATATCCAGTCTGAATCTCCCCTCTTTTAGTTTAAAACCATTGTCCCTTGTCGTATCACTACTGGCCCTATTAAAAAAGTTTGTCCCCATCTTTCTTATAAGCCCCCCTTTAAGTACTGAAAGACCGCAATAAGGTCTCCCTGGAGCCTTCTCTTCTCCAGGCTGAACAACCCCAACTCTCTCAGCCTGCAAAGTAACGTTTCTACGTCCTACTTCTGATGCAAGAGGTCTGTTAAATCCTGATGATACCAAGTTGACTTCATTTGAATCGATCTCCTGTAGAAGCAAACTGAAAGGCAAATCTGAAAATTCTCCCAACAGTTTCTCAAAACACACACAGATTTATGCTTTCTGCTTATTCTGCAATTTCATCACATTTTTTTTTTAAAGTGTTACTTTATGTAACAAATTCATGAGCTACAATCATAGACTTCACAGTAACTCTGGAAAAGCCACACAGATTTCTCTGTACTCAACGTAATAATGAAGAAAACACCACAGTCCTCTCAAAAACACCCTTCAAGCTTTGAAGGGTATCCTATGGATAACAAAATGTTGACTTTAAGCAAAAAAGGAGCAAGTTCCACAGCCCAGGACCATGTCCTCCTGCTAACTCTCTTCTCCTCCATCCTTTGCCAGCTGCAGGTATCACTGGGAATTGCTTACACCAATCTGTTGCAAACCACTGCTTCTACATTTCAAACTGAACAT